CTGAAGATTATTAAAAACCAATTATGCAAGGAGCTAGATATGATTACAATCAAGATCAAGTACGACGAGCTGGCGTGGATGACATGGTAAATATACGCAACATAATAGTCCAGGAATCTTCGATTTCGTTTCATTTTCATCTAGGTCTTCATGTCAAAAAATACGGAATCAGAAATTAGTCACAATCTCAAAATTCGCTTTGATGTCAATTATATTTATGTAATTTTTTTGTGAAGTACAAATAAACACTCTATTCCTTCTTTTTCTTTACCATAGACGTACATTGGCTCCGTACTGATCGCTGTCAATCCATATAAGAATGTGGAATACTGTCGCGAAAGTCATATGGAAAAGTATCGAGGAGCAGTAAGTGGTTTTTCTCTAGTAAGAAGCTCGAATATTCCATGAAAATGTTCATTAGACTCAAATGGACAATGCTCCACATATATTTGCTATCGCTGAAGATATGTTTAGTAATATGTTAATTGATTCGGAAAAGCAATGCGTTATTATCAGCGGAGAATCAGGCGCTGGAAAGACTGTTAGTGCGAAATTCATCATGTCTTACATTGCTGAAGTAAACTTGTGCTTGAAATATGTTCACTAGGAGTCTGTTTTGACTTGTGTTCAAAGGTATCAGGCGGTGGTCCAAATGTTCAACGTATAAAAAATGTTATTTTACAATCGAATCCATTGTTAGAAGTAATATCAATCAGAGGGAGTAATGAATCTTAGTATTTATCTGTATTTCAAGGCTTTTGGTAATGCAAAAACTATTCGAAATGATAATTCCAGTCGATTTGTATGTGAAAATAATTAGAGAGATAGATAGATGGAAATTTTTCTCTCTAGGGCAAATATGTTGAAATTCAATTTTCTCGCGGTGGAGAACCTACAGGTGGGGTGATATCCAACTTTCTGTTGGAGAAAGTAAGTCGAAAAACACAGTTTTTTCACTGGAAAAAACTATCACTGCACTGATTTGTTTGTAGCAAAAGGAAAAAAACACGAGAAGGTTTGCTTTTATTGCACGAATGTTGTCTTGCGAGTTCTATTTTGAGAATATCTAATTGAAAGATTTCGTTTCTACTCGAATTATTTCTCGTTGTTCTAGTCACGTGTTGTAAGTCAAGCTGAGAATGAACGAAATTTTCATATCTTTTACCAATTACTGTCAAGCAGAGAATTCTGTCGTATGTATTTTATTCTGATATGGATGATTCTAGCTGTTCTTTGGTGAATTCCTTAGAACAATATTCATTATCTCATGAACTTCGTTTTCAATATATTAATCATGCCGAAGCGATTCGCGTAGCAAAAATCGATGATGTGAAAGATATGCACGATACACAGGTATGCTTTTCCCGACGATAATCATTACTTTATCGATGTTATGTTTGTTCCGATAGCATGCTATGGATACAATTGGCCTTTCAAAAGAAATTCAACATAATATATTCAGTTTGCTCGCTGGTATACTTCATCTAGGCAATGTGCAATTCGGAGATAAGAACAACTATGCGACTGTTCTCTCAGAACGAGGTTTGAATGAATTTGGTCGTGACAGTCAATTCATGTGTAATTCATACAGATTTACAAGCACCTTGTGCTTATTTTGGTATTCAAACGGATTATTTGAAAACGAAACTGATTTCCAAACGATTGGAATTTAAGGAACATCAAGAAAATAAGCAAGTTGATCAAACATTCACTGTCGATAAAGCCATCTTTACGCGTGATGCATTAGCAAAGTCCATCTATTCGCGTATTTTTGATCATTTAATTCAGGTGAACATCGCAGTTGTTCATCTCTATACAATTGAGTTCATTTTCCATTGTCTAGGCGATCAATTCTGCCTTTCAAGCAGCTGCGCGTTGTGATTTATCTATTGGAATTCTTGATATCTATGGTTTTGAAATATTTGATCGGAATAGTTTTGAACAATTTTGCATCAATTATGTTAATGAAAAATTGCAACAAATCTTCATTGAACTAACGCTGAAGAAAGAACAAGTCTGTCGCTAGTTGAAGACTATCAAATAATCTTTCTCGATGACTTTATGTAGGAAGAATACAAACGTGAAAATATACAATGGACGCCAATCACATTTTTCAACAATATTGTTGTTTGTGATTTATTCGAAGCGAAACAGCCACCAGGAATGTTCTTATTGCTCGATGATATCTGTGCAAGTGCGCATGCAACAACTGAGAAAGTCGATAAAAGTTATCTAAATGTAAGATGATTATTTTAAAGCTAAACTGATTCGCTTGATCTTTTTTCTTCGTTAGAGATTGAGTGGTTTATCCAATGCGCATTTAATTGTTTCACCGCCGACATTTACTGTGAAACACTATGCAGGCGCAGTGAGCTACCATTCAGATCAATTTTGTGAAAAGAATCGTGATGTTCTAAATATTGATTTAATTGAAATGATGCAATCAAGTACCATGTAAGCGAAGAAAGTTTCGGTGTAGAATGATATGATAGAATTGATTTCGTAGACCATTTGTGGCACGACTATTTCCAGAACAGATAGCAACAATGAAAGCTCGACCAACTACGGTTGGAACGAAAATTCGTACACAGGCCAATGCATTAGTAGAAAAATTAATGGCTTGTCAGCCTCATTGTAAGTCTGAGCGAATGGCGAGTTTCGCCTTATTGATTTGCTTCTGCTTTCAGATGTTCGATGTATCAAACCGAATGAGAATCAAACACCGGGGGAATGGAATTCTTCAAGGTAGAAGATTGCGAATTCGTTGGAAACAATGTGCTATTGCGATGCTTTTAGTGTTGTCGAACAAGTTAAATATTTAGGACTGGTAGCAAATATTGAAGTTCGAAAAGCTGGCTTTGTTTATCGCCGTGAATTTGCAAAATTCCTCAGCCGGTAAGGTGAATGCCAATTGCGCGATCGAACATTCATGTCATTTTCGATATAGCTATGCTATATTAACGAAACAAACTTGGCCTAAATGGAATGGAAGTGTGACAGATGGTGTGATGCATATAGTAGATGCAATGCATCTCGACAGACGAGAAGTACAACTAGGAAATACAAAAGTGTTTATTAAATCGCCGGAAAGTGTAAGTTTTGCGCATGGGAACGATGTTCAATGTTGAAAATCTCTTTTGTAGTTGCATTTACTTGAAGATATGCGTTTGCGCAAATTCGATAACTATGCGCGTATCATTCAAAAAGCAATGAAACGCTTTTGCGCAGTTCGTGTCTACCAGCGACAACGTGAACAAGGTAGAGAATACTTTTCAATCATTGTTCTATTCTTTATAATAATATTTGAATAGCTACTGACATTCTCTACGGACGAAAAGAACGTAATGCTCGTTCACTCGATCGTGATTATGTCGGAGATTATTGTAATCTTCATCAACGCCCTGATTTACAAAGACTGATACCACGTAATGAAAAGACAGATTTCAGTTCGTACTTATACAAATATGACCGACGCTTCCGTCGACAAGGAAGATATTTCATTAGTACAAACCAAGCATTGTATATCATAGATGAAGAATGCGTATGTATCACAGAGAAAGAACGGTTCGACATTACACTGAAATAAATATCGATATCCTTTTTTCTGATAGATTAAAGTCGGTAGTGGCGGTGATGGAAAAGGCGGCAGTGCTGCAGCAGCACAAAAAGGCAGACAACAGCAATCACAAGAAGGTTATATGTTAGAATATAAAGTTAAACGACGTATTCCATTAGAAAATATAAATGAAATTAAAATGAGGTAAATTAGCATGACAGATATGTAATAGAAAACAATGCCAATTTGTTTGTTTTAGTGAATATCGCGATAATTTCTTTTTGCTTTGCGTAAATAATGATTATGCAACATTATTGGAATTATCAAGCAAAACAGAAGCAGTTTCTATTATATCAAAAAATTATGCTAAGAAAACAAATCGAGCATTACCAATTACATTCGGACAAGGGTATGTCATTCGATTAGATAATCAACAAATCAGCAATTGAACAATGTCTTGTTTTGTTGCAGTTTCGAATATACAGTTAAAAAACAGAGCTGGGTAGGTGGCGGTACACGAAGTGTTAAATTTGTTCATGCAGCTACAAGTACTCCAGTGGTAGGACATTGTGTTGGTTATGTTTTAAAATTCTATCGTATATATTTCAGAGTCAAATCGATCCGAATAAATTGCGTAAAGGAGTCGATATGCCACGTGATTACGAAGTAAAACTCAATCGTAATTCAATGACCGTTATGATCTCAAGTGGTTTATCAAAGCAATCGAGTAAATTAGCCCAAAATTTCGACTTCATTCAGTTGACTAAATACATTTCACAATCTTTTAGGACCAAACCAGTCGAATGCTGAAAAGCCACGTGGATTACAATTTAAACCACAGAATAATACACCTCGAAAACCACCGCAGAAACCGCCTCGACCGTTAGCAGCCAAGCCAAATAAAAAGAAGATTCGTGCCCTATACGATTTTCAAGCACGATCCGCTGACGAGCTGTCATTTGTAGCTGACAATGAACTCGTACTTATTGACAATAGTGGTATGCTTTTATTCGCATTGATACTCTTCCATTTTTTCTTTGCTTCTTTAGATGAAACTTGGTGGAAAGCCGAACTTGACGGCAAAGTAGGTGTTGTACCATCGAATTACGTGGAACTGATTGGCTAAAGACCGTCTTGCAGTTAAAACATTTAATCACAGTGACTACTTTTTGCTTTCTCTTTTCATCATTCTATCTGTATTCATTTTGTATTTGTTTACTTTTGCTTCAATGCATTCTATGATCTAAACTATGTCGTTTTTCCATTTTCCATATTCTGAACTGGGTTTGTTTTCTTTTTTGTTTTCTCCTCGAATGTCCACTTCTACACAGATTAATTTTTGTCGTTTATTTTTGTATATGATTGATAATACTCATTTGCATTATTTGACCAAGTTATTATTATTATTATCATGCATTCCGTATTTGATTTTTATGACTTCTAGATGTCAGGAATAAATTTAGAATCGATAACTACCCCAATTGTAATAATCAGCGCATTCGTTTTTCATAGCAGAAAAAGGATTCATTTGTCTTTCGTTTAGCGAACGCCAGTTGTAATTATCAAACCTATTCTTTACGGAAATACAGCGAAACATCTCGGTACGAAACGCGATACAGATGGACATACGCATAAATGGATGATCTACGTTCGGTCATATAACAACGAGGACATATCAGCATATATAAGTAAAGTGCAATTTCGTTTACATGAAACATATCCAAATCATGTCAGAAGTAAATGACAAATGTTGTTTGATTGCATTTTGAAAGTTATTAATTTAGTTGTTTCCCAAGCACCCTTTGAAGTCGAAGAAAGTGGTTGGGGAGAATTTGAAACACAGATTACAATCTTTTTTGCGGATCCAAATGAAAAACCAGTAAGAATTGATCAGTGAAATCTCATGCAGAAGTGTTACGCGATATATATTCAAGGTGACGTTCTATCATCACTTGAAACTCTTTTCAACAGATACTGAAGTGGTTGCTGGTACCAAACCATTGATCAATGAAAACTATGATGAATTAGTAAGGCAATTGTCAGTCATTGTATTCTATTTTTCGCTGATAGATCTTTCAAGAACCATCTGATCTGTTAGTTCGTTTACTTAACTGTGCGAAATCATTGGCGCCACCTACAGATGAGAATATTGCGGTTGAAAAAGAATGTATGTTACACCGAGAATTGATATGATCAAGTAATATGGTACCGAGGAATTATTTTAGACGCTTCGAAAAAGGCAGATACGATTACACGAATCAAACAAGCTCGTCAACGTGTTCGAAATGAAATTCAAGATCTAACTGAACGTCTTCGTATTACTCAGGAAAATATCAAACGCGCTCGACAACGAGTATTGGAGAATCATACCTCGTCAAATACTTCATTGAATGTCTCAACACACGAAAATATCAAACGTGAAATAGTCGATTGACAACATACATCTCATCATGATATTATTCTCTTTTTTCTGCGTTGTACATAATGTAAAGATTTGTCTTCTTTATTCTCGATAATAAAAGTAGAAAGATAAGAGCACAATTATGACTTTGAAGATGTGAAGAAAATAGATGAAGTATGCGAGTAATTGTTTCGAGAAATGTAACAAAGGGTTGTGATCGTTGTTATTTGACTGATAAAGTTAAGGAGGAAAGTATAGGTAGAAAGTCTGGAGAGTAATACATAGGTGTGTGAAGACAATAAACGAGATACTCTAAGAAATATCAAGATTAGCAAAGCATCACACAATGGTAACGGCAATCAATACATTTTCGTTGCACTGGGCCGATATTTTGGTATTAGTCATATATTTTGCAGTAGTCATTGGATTCGGCGTTTGGGTAACTGAAGTTGTACACATTTAACGTAAATACGTGATTTTTCATGAATTTTAGTCCTCCTGTAAAAATCGCGGTAGCGTTGGTATGTATTGCACATAGTAAAATCTGCACTCATTGACTCATGAAACTTGATCTTCATTCAGGCGGATATTTTCTTGCCGGTCGCACAATGACATTTTTACCGGTGAGAACAAATTTTTGTTACTCGTGGAAACACCAACAGTCTATCTTTGAGGTTGGTGCATCATTATTTGCAAGCAACATTGGCAGCGGCCATTTCATCGGCCTTGCAGGTAAATCCCGTCTGGATTTGTCTGGAGTTGTATTTTAAAAGGTGATTAGGTAGTGGTGCAAGTAATGGTATTGGTATGGCTGGCTATGAATTAAATGTAGATTTGCTCTAGAAAATCAAATGAAATACATGCGTTCCTGATTTCATTTAGGCAGGCTATGTATTGATGATTCTTGGCTGGATATTCTTACCAATCTATACTAAAGCTGATGCGAGTGTATTGTTGTACCAGTATGATGATGATGATGGTTTCTATTTAGGTTTATACAATGCCAGAGTTCTTAAAGAAAAGATTTGGTGGTGACCGTATTCGATTTTATCTAACTATTCTCGCTTTGATACTTTCGATATTCACTAAAATATCAGTGGATCTTTATTCAGGAGCAATCTTTCTCAATCAAGCACTCGGCTGGAATATGTATGTGTCAGTAGTAGCTCTTGTCGCACTTGCAGCTATATTTACCATTGGCGGTAAGATGAACAATAGAAATAAGAAACTAGGAAATTACTTGTATTGATTGATTTAGGAGGATTATCAGCTGTAATCTGGACGGATTTCGTTCAAACAATCATTATGGTAATATCCGCGTTTATTCTGATGATTATTTGCTATGTTAAAGTGGGTGGACTACAACTAATCAAAGAGCTCTATCCCTATGCTGTTGCTGAAACAACATTATTCAATGACACTTATTGTGGTATACCACCGGAAGATTACTTTAGTCTTATTCGACCATTAAATTCAGCAAATGGACCACCTTGGGTGGGATTATTCGGTATGACACTCCTCAGTGTATGGTACTGGTGTAGGTAAGCAACTGAAAGGGAAATACGATGAAGATTGATTAATGTTCACTTTGGTTTTAGTGATCAAGTGAGTATGATTCAGGAATGTATCAGTGTCATTCAACGTGCCTAGGTAATCGTCCAACGAGTACTAGCAGCAAAAAACTTGACGCACGCGCAAGGAGGTTGTATTGTCGCAAGTTATTTGAAATATTTACCGATATTCTTGATGGTCATACCTGGTATGGCTGCACGAATACTTTTTCAAGGTAAATGTGTATATACGAATAAGGAATATAGTTAGCTTGACAGTTTTTTCCCTCAGATAGAATAGGTTGTTCGACTCCTGAAACATGTAAAGAAATTTGTGGCAATGAATTATCGTGTGCCGACATTGCCTATCCTTTGATTGTGATCGAACTGATGCCTAACGGTCTACGTGGTTTGATGCTTGCTTGTATGATTGCAGCATTAATGTCATCGTTAACATCAATCTTTAATTCGTCGTCGACGATATTTACAATTGACATATGGCAACGATTTCGTTCGAGGGCGCCACAATGGGAACTTTTAATTGTTGGAAGGTAGGAATGTTTATGATGGGAAAGAAGGCTCACAAAGGTAGATATACTTGTTTTTTAAAGAATCTTTACATTGATTCTCGTTGGTATTTCGATACTTTGGATACCTATTCTATCGGCAGCACAAGGTGGAAAATTATTTGATTATATGCAGTAAGTATGCACGTCGAAGGGAAAGCTATTTTCATTCGATTGGCTCGTTTTAGAACAGTAACGAGTTTCCTAGCACCACCAATTTGTGCCATTTATGTATTAGCAATTCTTTGGAAACGAATCAATGAAGAAGTAAAGTAGTTCTTGAGAAGATCAAGATGAAATATTAAAATGCAATGCCTAGGGCGCTTTTTGGGGTTTGATATGCGGTTTAGTCATTGGTTTAATACGATTCATATGGGAATTTTCGTATTCCATTCCACCATGCCAATTAGCGACAACAGATCGACGTCCAGAAGCAATAAAATTTCATTTTCTGAACTTTGCTCTTCTACTTTTCGTCTTAACTTGTCTAGTTACGATAATCATTAGCTTACTAACGCGCCCAATCCCAGAACAATGTGTAAATCTTGTGTTTCGTTCTTGCATGTAGAAAATAATCTTGACATGAATGTTCTAGTTGCACGGTTTGAATATATTTGATTTGGATAATCCACTGAAGCCATCACCAATACCAACTAAGCCTGGTCGATGGCATAAGGCTGATACTGCGTTTGAAGACACAGATCAACGATCAGAACCAACCAACCGACGATTATCACGCGCAGAATCGAGTGCTGCCTTGAGAAAATATGGATTATTTTATGCAGGTATAGAATTACGTTTGGTTGAATATTCACCAAGACGATCTCTTTCGTGTTTAGATCCATCGAAGAAGAATGTGAAGTACTATTTGAAAATTGCTCTTTCATGGATTTGTGGTGTCGAACATCAAGCTAAGGATGACGACAGAGTCGATATCATACCTACCATGCCATCATTAGCACCGGAAAATCTTTTTTGGAAACGTATATGCAATATAAATGCTGTTATTATAATAGCATTAAGTTCATTTCTTTGGGCATTCTTCACTGATTATCGTATTGATAAAATGTATACAAAATAATTGATAATAAAATATAAAAGCATCTGTCGAATACGAGAAACCGTTTTAAGGTAGACAGTATCAATCAGTTCGTTCTTCTAAGTATAGAACGTTACTAGACGTACTTTTTCAAAATGACCTCAGTTCGCTATGTAAAGTCTATCGTTGCTCGAATTCCTTACAACGATCTCGATTAACGTTCTCTTTTGTTTTCGAACGACGCTTATATCAGCTGTTCTTCTACACTTGCTCCATAGACATTAGATTCGGTACTAACGAAGATGAGAGCGGTTTTATTTCTAATTCTGACCTCTTTTATCACTGGTATGAAACAACAACAACAACAACATTCATCGATTCCCACAGATAATTCACACATGAGTCATCATGACGATATTCCAATTCCAGTCCCTGAGTGTTTTACAACTGATTTAGTACCATCATTTTTGAAGCCACATGTTGTTGAACATGTACTTCAACTGAAACTTGAAGAAGAAGAAGCAAAATTAGTCAAAGAACGCGAAAGAAATCTAAACATTAATAACGGTTTGTTTGGTTTAAAATTCGTGCATCTATTGTTTAATTGTTTTCGAATCTGACTAGATGATATATTGGATTTTGAAGAAATGCAACTACGAACTGATATTCACAATGGTGCATTAATGGCTCGAGCAGCTACAAAAGTTGCTGATGAACTTGTTTTCCAGTATATCAAAACTAACGATCTTTATAGATAAATATTTTCAACTGTCTCCTTATTTTAGATTTTCTTGTTTAACAAATGGATCTGTCACCGATAAAATGTAAATCATTCAACTAATAGATAAACTTGTTCGTATTTTAAATTAAACAGCGTTTTTTAGAGATAGTTTTCTTAAAAAGATTCCACTACCAACTGACTTTTGCGCCTATCGTTCCGATCCAAGTTGTAAAGATTTAACAAACTATCGAACAATTACTGGTGTATGCAATAATCTTCAACGCCCGTATCAAGGTAGTTCACAAACAGCTTACGGACGGTTATTACCACCGATTTACGACGATGGTACAGATTAATCATATCAATTGTCTCTTTCATCTATCGAAAATACTTCTTTTTAGGAATAAGAACACCTCGTACGAAATCTGTCCTCGGCGGTCCGCTACCGTCATGTCGTGAGATAAGTTTAGCCATGGGATCGAAACCGCACTTTGATCCTGTTATTAATAACCTTTGGGTTACCTATGGTCAATTTCTTGTTCATGATATAACATTTGCAGCACCAGTGACTGATTCCGGTCGAACGCCAATCAGTTCGTGCGGTTGTGATTCGCAAGATACGGATATGTGCTCTGTCATTGAGATTGCTGCCAATGATCCATTCATGGCTGGACAAAAGTGTTTAGCTGTACCAGCAACTGCACAAGCATTTCCTAACCAAATTTGTTCATTGAGTGTGAAAGAACAATTGAATGGAAATTCTCATTATATAGATTTATCTGTAACCTACGGAAGTACACGACAAACAGCATTTGATATTCGTGCTGGTGCTGACGGTTTAATGAAAACGATGAAAAAAGCAGGATTCAGATTCGATTTACCACCCGGTCAACGTGATGGTAGATCATGCATTGATGCAACTGAAACAAATAAATGTTTTGCCGGTGGTATGTAATAAATACACTATGAATAAATACAGTCGATAGTTTCATCATAGGTGACTCTCGTCTTATGGAAAACTCTGTTCTCTCAGGTATTCAAGCTCAATGGTTACGTTTACACAATACATTTGCTACTGAACTTGCTCGAGTACGGCCAGAATGGCGTTCACAAGATACAATTTTATACGAAGAAGCGAAGAAGATTCTATCAGCTCTTCATCAGCGGTATACTTATGAAGAATGGTTACCGATACTGATTGGTGAAACAACAGCACAACGATATGTCGGCGATAAGACTCCGTTCACAGAATATGATCCTTCGGTAATGCTGATTGAATACTATTCGTTGAGATATCTTTGTACTATTAGATGCCTGGTGTTGTTTTCAATGAAGCAGCGACAGCAGTATTGCGTCTACATACATTCGTTCGTGATTTGATCACTCGCTGTAAACCGAACGGACAAATGATTGACCAATTGTGGTTTAATGAAATCAGTTCTCGATGTAAATTTGCTTATGAGTAAGATAACAATCCTTCTATTTACCAAAAAGCAAAGAGCAATTGATTTTCTTTTCGTGTTAGTACAACAACCAATGGTCTCGATTCATTTTTATGTGGTGCACTGTATGATTATGGTTTCGCAGGTGATACAAATTATGCACAACAAATTCACCATCGTTTATTCGAATCAAGAAATCATCAAGGTGAAACACGGAGAAGTGACATTGTTTCGCTGAATATTTGCCGTGGACGACAACATGGTATACCAGGCTACAACGCTTACCGAGAATTTTGCGGACTTCGACGTGCACGTCGTTTCGAAGATTTTCTGGACACAATGGCTTTCGATTCTGTCCGAACATTACAGATGATTTACAAGTAACATCATCAAATAGTCATAGACTCGTTAACATATCTATTCATGTCTTCAGACATCCAGATGATGTTGATCTATTCGTTGGTGCCAATCATGAAACGCATTTGTCCGATGCTTTAGTTGGTCCTGTTTCTGCTTGTATCATTGGCATACAATTTCAACACCTCAAATACGGCGATCGATTGTTTTACACTCATAGAGGCGAATTTACGCTCGGTAGGATTCATCGTTTATTTCTTTCTGTTTCTACGCGAACATTCGTTTGATTTTGTTTTCCTCAGAACAATTAATGGCTATCAAGAAATATTCATACAATTGTTTCATTTGCGATTCAACTGATATCGAGGAAGTTGCTCAGAATCCATTTCGACCACCAGACAAAAAAACGTAATTCTTATATTAATCATAAAACATGTTCATATTTTTCTACTTTAGCAATCCACTACAACCATGTAGTCAATGTCCTATTTTTGATTTTACTCCATGGCATGCGGAGATTACGAATTAAACATGTTTTATTTGTTTATTTTTATTATCAGAAGAAACGGAAACAGTTCGTATGAACTGTTTAATTTGGTTACTTTACAAGAATAAAAGCCCGTTACTAGTTTTGATTATTTTTATGTTTTTCGTCGAGTTGTATGACAATAAAGAGCGACTTGAATGTACTTATCGGTTTTGATTTCTTTTCGTATGGTATTATCGCCATGAGTTTTCGCATTTGGATCAACAATGATAATCTTTCGATCACGTTTACTCTTAAATAAAAGTCCCTCGAGATTATTGGTTATCGATTGAAAATTAGGCGTGTTGTTCGAGTAACAAGTTTGATTTTCCCAATTGTAATAACTAAATGTATCGAAGTGAGATGAGAATCAAGCTGTCAACATCAATTTTGTTATACCTGAGGTCAGTTGGTTTGGGTAAAAGTTTTTTCTTTCCAGCAAAATATACTTCGAAATCTTCAGATTTTAATCGCTGTGCATAATCGATGTAGCCGGATATTTCTTGATGACGGGAATTTTCATCCCGAATAAAAATGATCGTCTGCAAAATAGAATCAAACTAATCAGACAGAGGAAATCGATGACCTACAGTCATTTTTCCAGTTCGATTGGCTTCTTCCGTATCGGCGAGTTCACGTAACAATGGGTCAGTTATGTCTTTATTGGCACTAGCTAATTTTCTTCAAAGAAAAAGAAAATCCGGTCAATTGAGATGGGCGGTTAAGAACGTACGGTGCTTGGATACGTCTTGACTGAAGTTGCTGCTCAGCGGCTGCTTTTCGCGCATAGAATTCTTCGCGTTTAATCACTTCTCCACTACCATGATAGCCGAGTTCAACAAGTTGTCGAGCTAATTCTTCGTCCTAATAGGCAAACAAACGAAAATCAACATTGAATTTCTTCGTCGAAGACTTTATCATACTTCAAGATAACTAAGATCGATACGAGTAACTTGTGAGTCAAGAAATTCTTCGTATGTCGCATATTTCGTTACAATATCAACGGTTGCCGATGAATCGTCTTCCATAGCGCTGATTCAATGAAAAAAGTCTATCTAGAAAGTCTGGCGCATAATGTAATATGACTGTTCCAAAACTTTCATACAGAACGCGACAATGGCTGTTTGCTACAGTCTACCACAACATTATCGAGTGTGTTACTATAGTGACAACGGCAGAGAAGATGAAATTTTCGATGTTTTTATCGCTTCGAGTCTTTTTTATTCATGCAGAAATATGAAAATCATAGGAAAGAAAATCAATGGAAAAATCGGCACAAAGCGTCCTCTGTCTTTTTATTTTTTCTGTGGTCAATAGTTCAATAGGAATGTACCGAGAAATGCATTGCCGTGTTACAGGACAAAAAAAAACTTGTTTGTTTGAGCTACAGCTGCAAATACCATTTTTCTTTCATTTTTCTCCTTCTTGTATCCAAGAACTATATATGAAAATTTTCTTTTTTTCTGTTCTTTTTATTCAAGATCTATTTGGCTGTGTTTGCCACCGTATAATTATCAGGTCTTAGTGCCTATCCCAATCCATCACTCCCCTTCTCTTCTTATTTTTCTTGAAAAACAAAATGACATCGCCCGATGACGATTTTGGTCAACCATCAAATAATAACAATAATAATAGTATCAGTGTAGCAAGTGTAAATCAACAGAATAATTACAATCGACGAATAAATAGCAATAGCAATAATCCTTATACAACAACAAATGGAATTGAAATACGAATATTGATGACATCGCGTGATGCTGGAGCAGTCATCGGTAATTTAACCTTTTTGATTATCTTGCTCATTAGTAAAGTAGCATTTGTATTTAGGTAAAGGTGGCTCATCGATTCAAAAACTTCGTGCGGATCATTCACGTGCGATTATTCAAGTGCCTGATTGCACATCACCTGAGCGTGTGTTAACCATTAGTGGTGAACAAGAACAATGTTTTGATGCATTACAGCAGATTATTCCAGTACTAGCTGATAGTTCACGTCTTTCATCCTTTAGTCGACGACGTAATGCGAATCCTGGAGGAGTCAATGCCGATCAAAATTCATCATCGAATGATAATCAAACAACAGGTGATGCACCATCAGAAATTCGTGTGCTCGTTCATCAAATCTATTGTGGAGCAATCATTGGTAAAGGTGGTCAACATGTTAAAGAATTACGACAAACATACAATCTCGATATCAAAGTCTTTTCTCAATGTTGTCCAATGAGCCATGAACGAGTTATATCATTACGTGGCAAAATCGATGATATTATTGAATGCATTAAAGTAAATAGACGACAAACGAGAGAAATTGAGCTTATAATTGAGCTAATCATTTGTTTTTCTTAGCACATCTATTCATTAATAAGTTCATCATCGCAACAACCAAGGGGTATACCATCACTTCAATACGATCCACATAATTTTGATATTTATATTGTGAACGAATACGGTAACATTGGTTGTTTGCGATGTAATAAGAGAAAGTATCTTCTCCTTCTTCTCTAGGTGGTTTTTTACCACCTGGTGGCCTCGATCTTGGTATTGGATATAATCCACGAGGAGGTTTTCCACCACCTGGCCCTGCTGGTGGAATGTATCCTATTCGTCCTTTACCACCTCTTGTTGATGTGCCATACGGACCTGGACCAGCTCTAGGTGCTCGATACCCTAGCCCAGCACTATTGACTTCAACACGCGTAAGTTTGTCAAATATTGATTTTGTTATTCTAAATCATATTCACCTGTTCAGGTAACTTTACCGAATGAACTCGTTGGAGCGATTATCGGTCCACGTGGAGCGAAAATTCAACAGATACGGCAAACAACCAACGCTAACATTATCATTGATGATCAGTCTATTCCAACAGGTACGGGTGGCGGTGATCGTATTATAACTATTGAAGGTACACCCGAACAAATAAGTCGTGCCCAACACCTTCTTCAACAAGCTGTTCGTCAATCGGGTCTCTGGCGACCATGATATCTTTTGTTATTTTAACATTTACATGTGCACTCAATTTTCAAACATGCTTTTCTCACCACTTTTTGTTTGTGTTTTTGCTTGTTTGTGTGTGTGTATTGCTTTTCTTATTTTTTATTCATACGTGTATACAGTAGAATGTTGATTGATTGGCACGTTTCGTTTTTGTCATCGGTTTTGTGTATGTGTTTCTTTTTTTCTTGGTTTTGTTTTCTCTCGATTTGATATAGATTTCACGCAGATCTATAACATAGGATGTATTTCTTGTTTTATACACATGATGACCAGACACAACATGATTTGTGAAAATATATCCATTGGAGCAGAAACAAACGTGCACAAGTTTTGAAGTGTGTGTGATTTCGAAATGAGCTTTATTGATTAGATCAAGGATATACAAATTTATGAATGACACCGTATCTTCAACCTCAAATGTCAAGTACTTCGATATAGGTTAACAGCTCCGTTCGATTGTTCATATTCTAATGTAGTTTATACATAATTCCATTCCATCTAAATGCATCATATGGTTTGTTTATTGTGAAAAGATTCGACTCCTTCGCATTGAAATATTCTCACGTATTTCTATTTGTCAGCATTCATTGCATCAATTCCATTTCCTAATAGCGTAGGCATGAAACATGAGTATAACGTCATGCCTTTCACTTTAAATGTGCGTCCTGTACCATCATATAACCAACGTACTTGTTATCGTACGAAGCTGTTTGTACTCAACTGGTGTGTTTTTCCATCGTTTCAACATTTGATTTATTTACTTGATTACGTCTGTTGAAAATAAGTTATTACGAGTTCACCTCGAGAATGTAACTTAAACAAACGTGTGACTGATATCATTTACTTCTTACGGTTGGTTGATTTAATATTGACACACGTTTTTATTGCTGTACACCAGAGGAACCTTTTATCTGATCTTCTGACAACTAAGAAAAGGCAAAAAATTTTCATTTACGATCTATTACATTATTCAATCATGTCTTATCGATACTTGCAAATTTTCCTATTCGGATGTTGTTTCCTTCATGTTATTAAATCAACATTTCCATACAATATTACAAACACGAATAAACTCCTTTGTTATTCATGCAAAGGTGCTCAATGTGAAACGATTGCCAATGAAGACGACAACGTCATTGTTTGTAATAAACACGCACAATTATGCTGGGTAAAACTTTTGCATTTGAAATGAAGCTATTCCTTATGATCATATTGATGTTGTTAGGCTGGCTTCATTGATCAACAGCCATATCGAACCTGTGCAAGTCGTTACTGTACGCCGACGGGCGTTTCCCTCGACAGTGACATCCGAATTGAAACATGTTGCCATGCTAGTTTATGCAACTCAGTTCCACGTAAATATCTTCTCATTGACCAATTTTTCAAGAATTGCTTTTTTCTGTCTATTTCAATAGTCTCTTGGGCAATATGGAACAAGTGGTACAAAAGATCAACAACTCATCGTCCTGAGACAACTACGCTTCCGACTACCAATATAACTACAAAACAGGCAACAACTACTAAGAAAATACATACAACGCCGGGAATTTTCATTGTAAATGAAATTGATAATGACAGAGGTTATCTATTCAAACCTGAAAAAACCAATGAAGAACAAGAGAATATAGTTCTATCAAAACCAAAACTAAACACTAGTGATCCAGCTAGTTTTGGCATAACTTGGGAACGTATACCATACAACCGAGGTTGGAGCAATCGAATTGGTGCATCTAGTAATGTTTTTGTTCTTCTTATACCTTTGTTGCTAGTATTACTATTTTAAATCCATTTTTCCTACTGTACTTTGTTTATATATCTATATGCATAGTATCAATGACAAATAAACACAGTATTCACTCGGTGTACATTCTTGCATGATTGGTATCGCTTTAGAAACATTATGGTAGTACCATGGGCATCTTAATATAGATTGATGTTTTTTGCAAATGAGTTTTGCTGTATGGAAAAGGAACTTTTCAAATCAACCTACACAAAGATAAAGTAGAGTATTGTTAAGAAAATGAAAAAGAACCAAGCCACAAATGGATAAATTAATGCTTTTGAACAATTCAAATTTGCCTTCCGAGGAGAATGTTGTTCATCAGTTTTTGTTAGCGATGTATGAGGAGGATCGGCAATCTCTACTGATGATTGTAGATTTTTTATTGACGATATCTTCATCGTATGTTGTTTTTATTACGACACTGATTGAAGCCGATGATTCACAGAATCAGTGCCAAATGAGACACATTGACGAGCGCCAAGCACTCCGAGCATTTTATCAGTGAAGCGTGTTTTGTGGAGAATTCTGTCGTGTATGACGTTCGAGCTTGAATTCAAATGATATACAATGTGACCTAAAGAGTTTAATCGAGCTGAATTTCAATAGCACTTGTGTTAAACAGTTGTGTTGAAACTGCTTCTTATTCAATGACAGAATAATGCTTTCTATTTTAACATATTGGACCTGCGTGTTTACGAGTACAGAAAAATTAAAATGAGACGCCGTCTAACTGAGAAAATAAAATGCTTGTGCCTCATCTATATTTAGCTTTTATAGTTGCGTCTATATTCACACAAACAAGATAACAGCGATAAATGTACGAAAAACACGTCTAATAAATAACGACACATGTCTCCATAAAAGGAAGTATCTGTAGATAACATCCTATGTCGATTGAATAGAAAGAACTCTATATACTAAGCACATTACTCTATGTGAGAAATGAACTATGACTAACTAATTTATTTCAATTGTTTCTTAATTGAAAATTTAATGCGTAATGTCGTCTTATGAACATGCGACATAGAAATGGGAAGGTGATAATTAAAATAGAGATGACTCGTATGAAACCCATGGTATGTACTAAGAATTTTATTATATCATCAATAGTCATTCTGTATAGAATAAAGTGGAGTAAAATCTTTTTGGTAAATCAAAATTTGTCTCATAAGTTCTACAAATAGTGTAAGATATGTGCGTACAGTTTTGTCAGATTTTATCGAAGGCAAATGAAACAGATTATAGCGTGTTGTTGATTGAGCGCACTATGAAATTTGTTTAGAATGACACTCGATATTCGGTAAGGATACGGTTATATACATTTTATTGTTGAAAATAAACTATAACATAATGGTATCAATAGCATATGCTTAGTTTTGTCAGTAGTTGAAATTCTGTGATCTATGGAATTTACACAAAAAAAACCAGTGACTGTATGTATACAGTGTCTAAGGTAATGGACAGTTGTTCTTGTCATAGCTCAAGTCGAACGCCATCTTTGTTCAATTTCCCTAGGGTGGCATATAGAGGTCACAGTAATAAAAATAAATTTGAATAGAAATTTCTTATATGACTATATTGTAGGAAAATTTCTTATTTACATTGGAAAAAAAACTGTAAACTTTAGAGAAAAAAAACTATGTCTCTATGGTAACAAGTGCCTAAATGACATCTGAATACTATCAAGGGTAGCATTTTTGAAGCATATGTATTGATTTTGAACGAAGTATCCAAGTGATTGGCTAGCCAAGCATTTGATGACATAGGCTTTGAAAACATTCTTTGACACATCTAGTTCATAACTCTAATGAGCTGTTCGTTTTAGAAGAAGTTGAAGAAAAACAGAATCAATTCTCTCTTCCGTTTCTCTCTTGCCAGGTGAAGCAATGTAAGTGCACATTCCTTCTGTCCCACAAAGATATCTCCTTCTTTTTTCAATAGAGACATGGATAATGAAGCGAATGGTCAGGGAAGCCGTAATAGTCGATATCCAGATCCTGTTGATTCACTTTTCACCTCCCGTAATAAATTGAATTCCATCGATTCTGACGACGAACAAGTTGACAACGAACATATCACATCTCCATCTCGATCAAAAAGTACGGATGGTCGTCGAACTCGGAACACTTCCAGTGCGCAAGCCTTTACTCCAACAGCAACTAGTGTCGATCGATTTAAATATGGCATTCGCTATATTACCGATGGATTTGTACGTAAAGTAAGCAAACAGAATAACGTCGGCCGCATTCGTTCGTTAAATCTCAGCAATCTACGTGATAAAAAGATTCGTTACATTGAAAATCTTCAAACATTAATCAACTTAGAAAATCTGGATTTGTCGAATAATCTGATCGAGAAGATTGATGGATTGAAAACATTGAAAAAGCTCAAGCACTTGCTTTTAGCAAACAATTTCATCAATACAATATCGAACATTGAAGAACTCTCTCGTCTAGAAATTCTCGATCTTCATCAAAATCAGATTCAAACAATACCTGTTTGGTTCGGACGAAAGTTATCCTTACTGAAAACTCTGAACTTAGCTAACAATCAAATCGCGTCATTTGATCAGATAGCACGATTGCGAACGTTATATGAATTACGAGAACTTTATCTTCAAGGAAATCCTCTTGATCATAATGAACATTATCGGTTGCTTGTGATTTCATATGTGCCAAGTTTGCAAACACTAGATGGAACTCGAATAACTGATGAAGAACGAAAACAAGCGAAAGAACAGTGAGAATATTCTCAAGAACGATTCGATGATGAAAACAGATTTCGATTTTTGTAGATTTATCCAACAAGAAGTTCAAAATCTACTTCATGAACTAGAACGTCGTGATAATGAATGTCGACGGTTGAGTACTCAAGCAACGACTAATGAACAACAACTAGAGAAAACGAGTGATAAACTACAATCAATTGAAAGTAAAAGTGTTTTACAAGCAAAAGAAATTCGAGTAAGAATTCATCACTATGAACGAAGAGAGAAAGTTTTCATTCGGCAAATAACCTTGAGAATAGGAATGAACCTTGAAGTGCTTTTTTCAACTAGTCGCGATCTGTCGTGCTTTGTAATCGTGTCTGACAAGCTTTGCTAATCTTCTTAATTCGATTAAATTAACAGAATGGGAACATTTTGCTGCTTGAAACAATCACTGATGTTCTAATGAACAAACTGCGCGGGGTAACGAAACTAATTCGCGTAGAATATGATCTGACTCTTCTTGATTTCTCCTTTGTGATTTCATATGTTTGAAAATGAAAGATTTTGTTTGGTATCATGATTTTCTTTTCAGGAATTACAAGAACGGTTAGCTACTAGCGAAGGACTTCTTCAACGGAAGACCGCATTACTTCATCAATCTTGTGAGAAGCAATTTAAACTCGAACAAGAATTAGCTTTTTACAAAATCGATTTAAAATTCGATCGACTTAGTAATAAAAAGCTTTTCGAGTGGCCAAAAAGAAAACATTTCTCTTTTCTTTCTCAGATCTGTCAAGACAGTTGAATCGAAGAAATAGTCTTGATCAAAGGACTAACGACGATAGTCCTTTCACATTTGATCAATTTCTCGAAAATGCAGAACAACGATCTACTGGGTAATTCAACGACAAACTTCATTTGCACAAAAGTTTTTCATTCTTTTTCTTTCAAGTGCTAGTCATTGGCAAGCCAATGACGTTCAACGAATATTAGGCAGTGCTCCTGATGGTAAATTTCACCATACTGGTATGTTAGAACCCTCTCATTCGAACCGCTCAACATACATTTTCCGAAAAATAGACGACGAAAGACTATACAACGAGAAGTTATTACAACTTGCCCTGAGTATCAATGAATTAACATCTATGCAAAATAAACAACAGCGAATTGAAGAAAGTTTACAAAGTGTACCGCAAGGAGATGAATTCCATGCCACAGTGGAAGTAAGTTCCCGAAAAGTTGACATTTTTCTTCAAATTTCGATTTCTGTTTGTTTCTACAGCATCTCTCCGATGATCTGAATAATCTACAGACTGAAATAATGAATAAAGTCGATGATGTGCATGAACTGAAACTCGTTCTCAGCAATCTACGAACCGATCAAGGAAATGGCTTGGATTCCGATTTGGAACAAGTTACCATCGAATTGAAACTTGACGAAGGTGTCCGACAACATATTATCAAAGCGAAAGAAGCGCAATCAGCTAATCCTAGCAACGGTGAAACATTTTTTGAACTGACATCTTCTCAAGGAACTCCATTATCAGGTATTTACAATACAGTTTTTTCTCTCTTCGACCTCCCGTTCATTCTGTGTTTATATTCAAAACATTCAACTATGATTGCGTTTGTTTCTATGCTCAACAAACATTGAGAATAAATGTTCGTCGTTTTTTTTTTCGATTTCGATGTGCCTACAATGTCAATGGCATCGTTTCATTGAAAGTGTGTGATTTACTCATACAATCTAATTCGATTTTGTTCTCTCCCCCTCGCTTATCTCATCATACTACCATGATGTACCATTTTCGATCGTTTTTTCACACATCAATAGCAAAAGTTCAATTACGAGGCTTGTTCTTTCGCGTTGTAAAAGATTGTTAGTAGACAAGAGAACAAAAGGAGAGGAAAAAGAACGAGTACAGTTGTATGGTGTATCAAGGTTAGTCAGACGTAATCGAACATGCTAAGATTATGATTGTTGTAAGTTGTTGAAACGATATGAACTATTTTTGTATTGATTTTAGGTGTATCGACACGTGTAGATCTACTTGAGATTGCTTTAGCAGCGAATGTTGAACAACTTCGAGCAAAAGAAATAAGTGAACACGAAGCACAAAATAAAATTCTCGAATTGAAAAGTGCATTGCAACGTGAACAAAATCAAGCGCATGAACGTATTCAACATATTGAAGACATGGCTGAACGAGAGAAGCAACGCATTCTGAAACATTTGGAAGATGAAAAACGATTTACACGAGATATTATCTCGAAATCGGAAACGATGATTGAACAACTCAAACGTGAATTAAGTTGTGAACGACGAAGGAAGACAGAAGACGAGAAGAATCGAGATGCACTAAGAGATATTTATAAGAAAATTACACCGCAACCAGGTAGAAATTTAACAAAATTCAATCAAAACGATACTTTTACGAAAGATACAAACCAAGGCCCTGATAATCGCGACGACGACAACGACGACGATGATGAAGAATCTCGGTTAGATAATGAAACAACAGTATATCACAAAGATGATCCATTTTTTGCATCGACACCACGTGATCAGTCGTTCTTAATGGAAGAAAATGAGAATTCCGATTCGAATGCACTTCGTCGTCAACTTGAAGAACAACTGAGAAATGTCGAGGATGATTCCGTGATAGTTGATCAACAAGAGCGACCAACCAAAGAACCAACAACGTACCGTTCAGGCTTGCCACCTATGTCAAAACGAAGATTAACTAAAAATCCAATATCGAGTGCATCCTCAACATCATCATTTGAAAAATCACAAAAGCCAAGGACAAAAATCGACTCGACATCAAATGTCGAAGGTAAGTGGAATATAGTACACGATTCCCATCAGTGTTAATCATCGTTGAAAACGTTCCATCGAGTTTCTTACAGTCTCAAGGTCGATATCATGATTTTTTTTCTAATATAGATGAAGATGAAAATGATTTACTGCTTCGTCTTCACGGTTATATGAAAGGTGGCCAAGCAAATACGTCTGGCTTGGGAGATCTTGCGCGAACAACAGTCAATGATTCAGGTTACTCAAGTCAACAGACGGGTAGAGAAACCAAGAAGACCAATGATAAATTAGAATCTCTTCTTTCGACTCAACCGTTCTCTTGCTACAACAAATGCTTTATTGATCCCGAACAATTCAATCGTGAATATACCGTCGGTATTGTCACCGCAAGAACTGACCAACAACAACAACAGCGTTTCTATGATTCATCCAAAGTTGGTAATGTTACCTTGTATCCAACGCCAGATGGTTATGTTCTCGGACCGCACTCAATCACGGTTCCTCAAGAAACTTTACCTCTCTATGCCAATGGATCTCCACCACATTCACTGACACATACCGATTCTCAATATTTTGCATGTGTCAGTATCCCACCGGATGCTCTTTCTTCGAATCGTCCGTCGACATCCTCACGAGATAATCGAGAGGAAGTACGTTTACAAGGACCTATCATTCTTCGTCAAGATACAGTGGCGAAATCTGAAAATGTTTCTCCTGTCTCAGTTAAACTTCGCAGTTTGAAGTTTCCTGAAGTTGAACAAAGTCCAACTACAGATTCGAATTTAATTCGCCGTGAAATTGATCGTACTTCGGATGAACTTGATTATCTTCGATTGAAACTTCAACAGCAAGAAGAAAATCTTCCACATGATCATCAATTGCACGCGTTCAAAGACTTATTGGAACAACAAATACGAGGTGAGCGATTTCAGCACATTGTACAGAATGATCAAGGCTCGATGTTTAGAAATTGAACGTGTCAAAACTATTCATCGAGATATAATCAACAGTGGCCGTGGAAGTGAAGCGAATCTTCTTGATATCTCTCAACAAGTTCAACGAATCCAACGAAATGTGCATGAAAATTTAAGTCCATCACTGACGCGTCTAACTGAAGAAGCAACCCGAATCAATCCGAGCAGATTAATTCCCATATCTGGTGATAACCATTGGATATGTACAGTTCCGCGTCATGCAGATTTAGAACAAATCATTGCTGATCTCGAACGTAGACTTGAACAACAACGCAGAGAATTAACTGATCTGCGACAGGAAAATCGTCGCTTAATGAAACGATCAATGAAAATGGATGCTCTAGATTTAGCTTCAACACACAAACGATCACGGTCGATTGCTGATCTAACCGATAAAGAAAATCTCCAAGTAGATACACCTTTTTCCGATAAGGATGCGACATAAACTAATTTAGGATGATATTTTCATTTTGGAACAACAACTTCTCCGACGACAACGCGATATTGCAGTTGCCAACGAACAATTGAGAGAAATGACCTCATTATCACATAGCGTATGTCAATAAATAATTTGTCTCCTTTTTCTGTATTTGTTTACTTATCGTGTTTCAGGTTGTTCAAGACTTAAAAGCCGCTCGTCAACGACAAGCAATTGCCAAACGTGAAACTAAAGGCCTCGAACAAAAAGTCGAGATCTTAACTCGAAAACTGTATACTCTCACTAATGATACAAAACAAGCAGATGAATCCTTTGTGAAAGCATCGAATAATTGTCAACTAATGACCATGGAACAAAGCAAATTAGACAAGGTTTTCTCTTCTACATTTATTTCAACTTTCAACAGCGAACTTTCTTTTTCTTTTTACAACTAGATCATCGATGAAAAACGAGCTTTAGCGATCGTTCTCGACGAACAACTCCATGCATCGTTCCATTCATTCAATTCTCTTCTTCACACATCAATGAAATGTTTACAAGAATTAACATCCGCTATTGCTACAGAAGATGAATTACGCTTCAATTCGTTACCTTCACCATCATTTCAACCACCATCCCAATCATCCAAGATTCCACCGGAAGAAATGCAACGACAGATTTCACATATAATCGCGGAAAATAGTCGTGTTCTTTCGCGCTATCATGCGATGTTACAGCAGCAAAAACAAAAATCTAGTTCACTGAAAACTGAAGTTACCGAAGGCGAAACCATGCTTGCCAATGTCAAATCCGAACTAGATGCATACAATGAACAACTAAGAAAGAACGCCCAGGAACTTCTCCAGGTAAGAAATACATGTTTTTCGAAAGTTTTCAATAATTTCTTTCATTATGATAAAAAAAAGGATAAGAATGTTTTGGAAGAACTGGAACGAGTCAAAGAACTGAAATCAGATAAATTATCTGAACTTGAACGGCTAATCGAACGTCGTCAAGCGCAAGAAAAACATGCCCAAAAAGAATTAGAACAATTAGCGAATGAACAGCAGCGTTTAAAGAAACAATACAAAGATGCTGTTGTTGAACACGATCAACTGCAACATAATATCGAAGCTGATCGTCAAATTCTCAGTGAAATGAAAAACGAATCAGAACAATTACGTGAACAAATCAAAACATTCATGGATGAAAAAGAACAACTGGATGAAGCATGTGATCTATTAGCGAAGAAATGTGAAGCGTTACATAATGCGTGCAAAGAGAAGGAGCAGAGTAGTTTGCCAGGACTGATTTCTCAGATCGATGAGAAATTAACTGTATGCAAGAGTCTAGAAGATGAAGTAATCAAACTGAAATCGGAGAAGACACGCTGTTTGGAAGAAGTGACTGAAATGAAGGAAAAAATCGAAAAGAAACGTATCGAACTCGGACATCCAACAAACGACTTCGATACCGATCGGCTCAATCAAGATCTACGACAACGTATGAGACGTAGCGAACAAGATTTAGATCGCATCAACCAAACGATCGAAGAACGTAATCGCACGTTAAATGAATTGAATACAATGGTCGCATACTCAAGAAGTATCATGAAGGTAAATCGAATTCCAACGTTAACACTTTCTCCATGTGAAATTCTTTTGTATAGGGCGGTCCAATAAATGAAAATTATCGAAATCTCAAATCCGATCCATCATCGAGCTTTCCACTCATGGATCAACGATATCAGTAAATCAAATTTTGTGCGTTTGCTTTCAGGTTTGTTGTCTTCTTTTTTTTTAAGACAAGAAAATCACATGTATTACGAGACAAAAGTCCAACGACTAACGGCAACTCTGGACGAAAAAGAACAAGAACTGCGTGCATTAAATATGCAATTAATCATGTGAGTACCCGATGATCGAATGACAACGTGATCGAATGTGTCTTTATCGATAATTTCTCAGGGCAAAAGATGAGCTTCTTCAAATGCAATACAAAATTCAAAATCAGGAAACCAATGCCGAAGCCGTTCGAAATTCTATGCAAGTTGAATTAGATAAACTTCGACATTGGTTACAAATCTATGAAAATCGTAAAGCTGTTCTACGTCCACAATATCACGAAACATTGAAAGAATTAGAATTGAAATTACACGAACAGGAAATGTTCTTCCGCAAACAAATCAAAGATCTCGATGCGGAAATGAAACGAAAATATCATGGCAGACCCACTGATGATTCCGGGTAAGGAGCCATTTACAATACTGATAGTCAGAAGATGATCTCTCCTTCGTTTTCTTTTCTGTAGATTCTTCAGCGATACAACTATTGGTGATAACCGTATTTCTCCATCAATCGATACGAACGATACATCGATGTTACGTGAACAGATTCAGAATATATTTTCTCAACATGCTCAAGAATTGGATAAATGCAATTCGAAATACAAAACGAACTTATCGAACTTAAAAAATCGTCTTCATGAATTAGAAAATTCCACAATCAATACAACGACCTATTAGCTTAGAATCGTAGTCTCAGATATTGAAACATTCTCTCCTGTTTTGTTTTTACATTGTTAACAGAGCTTTTCTTTTCTCGTAGTCTAGATAACCCAATTTCTTTTTTTTTTTGTCGTTTTTCTTTTTATTACTTAAAAGAGCAACAACGAAAAAAAGACACATAGTACGTTATTCTTGCGTAGAAAAATACAAGCCAAGAGAACAAATTGTCGCGAGACTAAAAGTTATAAAGAAAATATCGCTGTCATCATCGACTTTATCTGATCAATGTTGGAGAAGAATAGCAGCAGCATCACTACGACCAATTTGATTAAGTACATTGATCAGATTAACTAGTGATTCTTGTCGCGCTTCCCATAAGGTTAACAAATGTTCCGTTGGACTGGATTTTGTTGCGAAATATTGAAGATAACTACAGAAAATATTTCGTCATCGTTTCGAAACGTTTCATTGAACTTACTTGATCCCGAGAAGATTATTTGCAAACATGCGCCAATCATTTCCGAGTGAATTCGGCGGATCTAATACTATACAAAGTTTTTGACGAACGAGTGATGATAATCTGTGAATAGAAGGGCCGAGACTAGCTTAGCATAATTTTGTTTGATTTTTCTCTTACTTTGATCCTTCTTTATTTGTTTTCACAGGAAGACGTTGTCGTATCGAAGATGTATTATATCCCGGATTATGTAGAAACTAGAATCGACAAATGAATGTCGCATTGAAGCAAAGATCTGTATCGATCTCATTAGTTTACTTACATTATGTGTGTTAATACATAAACGTGTATGTAATGCACTGTCAAGTATCGTCGGCTGATAGACATCGATGTGCATAGCTAAATGGTCGATAAATGGTGTTGATGAATGTTCATTATTCAATTGTAAATTAGGAATAATAAAAATAAAGCACGATCGATCAAATCTTGTTGACCAAAATGTTTTTAATGGGATTTCTTTGTAGCCAATGTTGATTCTTGACGTGGATGAGAGCTCCAAATCCACGTTGATACATATTTGATCTTCATAATCATGTAGAATGAATTCTTTCGGTTGGTCACATAGGTAATTTTGTAATGCGAATTCTTCGGTTAAACAACGTTCCAACGCATCCGTTGTGGCATCGAGAAAACGTAAGCGTAATGTCGAGACAGTTTCATTAGATATTGTGTCGGTCGATGAACGATTATAGAATGGAACCATTTGAATATATTTCGATGCATGATGATGTTTCGAAATCGATTCGCCAATCAATGCGTATGCGCCCATTGTTTCAAACTAAGATCAAAGAAGAGAAGAAGAAATGATGAGATTCTCTCAAGATCAGAATTCACTTACAAGTATCGACATTTGTTGTTGGTTATTGAATTGTAAATAAACCGGCGTCGATATATTTTCTTGTCCGTATGTGAGAATAGGCTTCCAATTGAGAATATCATCACTGAACATCAGATTCAATTTCCACGATGATTCCAAAACAGCTGTGTGTTCGAATGAAAGGACAGCTGGTTTCAATAGAGTGATTTCAGATGGACCAACTAATACAACAGGTGATAGGCGTGTGTGGCCATTGTTTAACACAGGCATTTGATTTTCGATATTAACTAAAGCAATAAATACTAAATGATCGCCATCGAGTAGAACAGCATCTTCAGGAATTATTAATGATACACCTGTATTTGGAATTTCCAGTCGACAACCTTTGTTATTAAGAATAGACACAGCGAAATAACGTAGATCTGTATGTTCTGGTAATGACTGAAGAATATTTTCATAGATTAGATTTAAATGATTTTCGTTTGTAATTGATTGACTTGCTAGTGATGGATATCTAATATGATGAGATGCATAACTAGTTGTACTTAATGTAGCAGGATGTACAGATGATTTAGCGGCGTAAATTTGTCGATTCAACGGCGATTCATTAAGTAACAATAATTTCTCTTTTTCTAATCCTGAATCGAAATTTGTTAACGAAACCGAATTGTTTTGCGATGCACATGACCTGGTGGATGTTGTATCTTGCTGAATCGAATAGTAAAATGGATATTCGGTTTTGTCACTATGACACACACCCAGATGACTACTGCCGTTACTACTGGTGCCTTTCGACACTATACATTTCGGTAGACCTAGTGAATAGAAAGAAAGAAGTGTAATTAAATAGGCTAAGATCTTTGATGCTATGTAAAACGAGATATTGACTTTAGGAATATCGAATTTAATCGGTAAATGTCATTAACTATATCAGATATCTGGATGAGTCAAGGAAGAACGACTGAACGAGCCCTTGAGAATTCATCAGGAAACATTAGTTTGACGTTTTCTTTCTGAAATTTCTTTTTCATTTAGATTTTGATCAGATGTGAATTGATCGTGAAATGAAAAACGATTAAGATAACCGTTCAGTAGCTTTTTTCTATTACTTCTAGTATGTAGACATTGATTATTTTCTTCTCGATTGATTTTTCTCATTAGACATGACAAAGAGAAAAATCATCAAAATTCTTTTCAACAATTGTGAACGTATTGAGCAAATTAATACACATGCTGCAGATGATAAGCGTTCCTCCCATTTTCTTTCCTTATTCTTCTCTTTTCATGCATTCATTCTCAGTTCGTTAATCTATCGAGTGGCCTCGCTGACTGACCGCCGGCACACAATCACAGACACGCACTACAATTATCTCTGCGGTGTTCTCTTCTGTCCACACATACACACACACATATGCACAGATTGCTATCTGTCATTTTGATCTCAATTTCATTGTTTTATTCGATCAATAAATATGCGTAGCAGAAAGAAAAACTCTTTTCAAGCAATTTGCACTTTTGCCGCTTTACGACTGTACACATATTAAAGTTCAGCTGTTCCAGAGAAGTAGAGGAAGAGGAGAAAAAGTACAGGAGACATATTTATTTATAAGTGTGCAAATGTCACTGTGTTTAGTCTAAACTCTCATTAAAGCGGAAGACGGAGAAGTAGATATGATAAGAGGAGATGAGAAAGATTATATAATCATGACAATTACCTTTTTTTGACGTTGAACGTTGTCGACGACGCCAGCAAATCAAGAAAAATAATATGGTTAGTAAGAGGAAGATGAGAGCACCGATACTAATCGATGAGTAGACGATCACATTGAGAGCAGATGACGAAACAAGAGTACCGCTACTACTACTAATAACATCTAAATAAAAAAAAAGAAGAAACTCTGAAATAATCAATGTCCAGACAATGGAATTGTTTAAGAGTGTCGGAAATGTGACTAGACGCCGCCTCTCGCTCTAATCAAATTCAATCGGTTATTTCATTGAAAGAAAGATCAAGTGGATGGTCATCATCATTTACTCACTAGAACAAAGATTTCCTTTGCATGGTCGACTCTCAACTAAATAATCGAGACAGGGTTCTTGTAAACACTGACGCGTACGTATCGATGTACAATCTGACGTGCGACATGTGGACCATTCAGTCCAATTTGTATACATACCTACAAATCGATAGAAAAGAGGTGACAAACGAGTTCTTTTTATATTAAAAGTAATGATTACCATTTGATAATGTGCGAACAGGAGCAAATGATGATGAGGTTTTGTTTGAACAAGGGACAAGACATTCACGTTCCTGTATTTGTTCACCATTACAAATAGGCTTTTTATCATCAGTTATGGATGATTTTAAACAATCACGTATACGTTGCTGACGACCTGTTTTGCACGGCGGGCCTGTACAATCAGACCATGAAGACCATTCAGAAAAACCATCGTCTAAATGACAAAGAAGCGAAGACACTACAAATGACTTTGAGTCTAATGGATAAGAAAAACCTGTTGGAACAATAGCACCCGAAGGTGGTGATGAAAGGTCTTTTGGGCAAATAACTTGACATTCTCTTTCTTGAATTTGATCGCCATCACAACTAGGTCGATTGGTAATTGTCGGTGGATTAAGGCATGTACGAATACGTTTTTGACGGCCAATACTACACGGTATACCTTTACAGTCTGAAAACGGTTGCCATTCCGACCAACCGCGATCATCTACAAGAAGAAATGGAATAAAACACAAAAGTATTTTCATTCTAGTTGTCTGTACCATGAACGATCAGTTCTGCTGGTTCAGTTGAGTAGGTGCCTGCAATGTTTGTTGCGACACACGTATAATTTCCTGCATCTGTTGCTTTGATTTGTGCGATGAGTAGAGAATTTTCATTTGATAAAATAAATCTTCCATTGCGATTTATGTCAACTGAGTGCCCATCTTTCAACCATGTTACCTTCAAAATTCAATAAACAATTAGTCCTTCATTTTTCCTCTTTCAATTTACTAAATATACACATCTCGATTTTTTTTTCTCCTTTGTTTTTTACTTGTTAAACTACGAGTGTGACGAGATGGTGATTAGTTCATCGATTATTCGCTAGTACACTTCTGTCTGAGTACGTGTGGTAACAGCAGGCGTGTGATTGAAAATTGAAGTGAACAAATACATCTAACAGGTATACCGCCTATTGGGATATCGAGTATCGTTGGATTATTAGAGAAACTCGTTGAATAATCGGTTCTCGTGTTCCTCGTTGTACGAAACAACGTGTTTAAATAATGACTCGATGGTATTACGAGAATCGATTGAATAAAGAAGACTAACTAAATTATCTGCTCATATAATACTAATGACGATGATGAGCTATTTATTTATACAAAGCTAATGATGTAATAGACCTTACTTTTGGATATGGATTACCACTTGGCGGACGACATCGTAATTCCGCTGATTTACTAATAACACTATCCGTTCGTAATGGTTCCCATTCGAATACTTTATCCAAATCTAAAAGAAATTATTGTATCGTTTATGTTCTGATAATTGCATTCAATCTGATTGGAAAAGAAGTTTTCTTTGCTAATCAGAGTTAATCTATCGATAAATGTCAAAGCATTTGATCTGTTCTATTAGTGATATTAAAGAAACTTACAAGCAATTTCGATACTCGCTGTTTTGGATTTCAATGTTCCACCTGTTGCCGACCATGCTTGACAAAAACATTTATATCCATTAGAATCAAGTTGACTTTCAAGTTGTGCAGCAGTGATGTCAATAGATGTGACAACGGTAATTAGGCCTT